TTTTGGATTTTTTTACCGTGACTTGCAAGTCACAACGACTTGAAGAACTTTCGATAAATAGACGATAGGGTTAGACAATTACCTTGTTAGTTGCCACAGAGCTGCATCATTACAAAGGAAAATAACGAATGACTGCTCCAATATAGTCGACCCGTTAACCATTACCATATCCGTGTTGGAACAAGATTCTACCACTAGAATTTAAGAAGCAACAATCTGGAAGAATTAGCAAATTTTGTTTCACTATAGTTGTGGATTGAATTAGCAAATTTCTAACGTGTTTGTGAGATTTCAACTAGTGACATGCTATTTTCATAAAAAAATGGTCGACCCGATTAAGTACCAGTCATGTTGGTTAGTATCTTCACTTGAATACGGTCGACCTATATATGAAGGTGGTCGCTCAATATAACAAAACCATGTTGGTGTGTGCGTGTCATCTTCAATTTGGTCAACCTTCAAGCTAAGAGGTTTTCCCTCGAAATTGTTCTTTATTATTGAAATGGAATTATATTAGCTCTGGCTAGATTACAAAATTTACTTACACATTAACAGTTCATAGCAATTTGATTAACTTTGTAGCTAAATTAACTAGACAATTATAACCAATTGACACTAACACTTGCAAGCTTTTTTCTGTGGCTCGAACTAGTATGGTGAAATTAGTTTCGCTACAAGTCAATTAGCTACCATAATCTAACAGTAGCAAAATTCTTGTAGCTAAAAATTGATTTATTGTTATGATTTGTAAGCTTTGAATAAAACGACAGAGTTAGCTATGGACAATTCTATTTGTGACTGGAACGATTATCAATAGCCATAAATAGTTATTTCCTTAAGCTGAATATACCAATTAGCTACAATATTTTAATAGTAGCGAAAGCTTTGCAGCTAATATGGTACTTATAGCCATGGTGTATAAACTTCAAAACAAAATGATATAATTAGCTACCGACAATCATATTTGTGACAAGAATAAATATCAATAGCTGCAAGAGAGGATTTTTGAAGCAACTACTTATAATAGCTTAGTTTGGCCCTGCTGTAGCTTTTGCAGAAGCAGCTTCTGGCTGGAGCTTTTAGATAAGTACTTTTCAAAAAAAGCAGTTTAGTGTTTGGCTGTAAAACTATTAGAAGTGCTTTTTAATATGAGAGGTTGTGTAAAATGACTATAAAGGACTTATAATATAAAATATAAATAAAAATTCGAAACAATAAAAAGTAGTCAAAATGGATCTTGTTAGATTTCTTTTATATTAAATAATATGATTTTATAATTTATTTTATTTTTAAAATGATATAAATGAAGGAAAATTATATTTTCTGAAATAAAATTAAAATATGGTAAGGATAATCTTGTATTTTCAAAACAGCTTTTCGCAGAAGCTCCAAATCGGAGCTTCTGCTTTTATGTTATACAAAAGCGCTTTTCGGCTTTTCAAAAGCCGAGCTTTTAGAGGTGTTTGGCCCTACTTAAGCTTTTGAAGCCGAAAAGCACTTCTAAAAGCCGGGCCAAACATAGGCATTATTAGCTAAGAAATATTGTTTGTAGCTATGTTTTTGTGGCTACATGTACGTATTGTTGTAGTGCGAAGTCACTGTACAAAAATCTGCACTAAGAGAATAACCTATTGCTAGTTTCATGATATCTTACGATCTAACTACGATTGGATTAATGTTGTCACTAATTAAATATCCTATGTAGTATGTACAACCAAAACCACTGATCTATTGATAATCTCTGCATATAATTAAAAAGTTGGTGTAACAGAGTTTAGAGTTGATGATGACATGAGGATGAGTTCAGTAGGCATCATGTAATTGGGATCTGGCTTTAACGATCAAATCTCTAATCAAACAATATTTATTTGATGCATGCGATTGAAGCGATCGAGATAAGTGATATTTATGTTATATATTGTTGATTAATCACAGGTTTGGCGCACAAACGTTGTAATACAAAGAATAAGAGATCACAGTATCATACTAATTGTGGCACTTCCTTCTAATTTCAGAAGCTTTAATGGGCTAATAATACCGATCCACCCAAAGATTTAATTGTTTGTGAGTACTGCACAGGTAGCACAAGTACCTGATAATTTAAAAGTCAAAGAAAAGAACCCTGAGTAGGTGAAATTCTGACTCAGCACGTCTTAATTCGACTCTGGTTGATGCTTTCTAGTACACTACTATGTGAACCGCAATGAAGATTATGTGGAATACGTAGCAAAATGGTATTTAGAAATATTTTTTTAGTTTAGTGATAAAATTTTATTGTCAAAATAATACTAACATAAAACAATACACTTCAGTCTATGGTTATACTTGGTTTAAAGCATATTAAAACCCGCAAAAACTTAATGGTATATCGCGATAAACAGTTTAACTATATTGCACCGTCGTCCCTTTAGAATGAATTATTCTTCATTTAAGGACAAAAATACCATACAAAAGTCCCATGATGATATAAGCTTCTAGAAAAAAAAAATAGTGGAAAGAATGAACAATGCACTAAGAGAGTAAGGTACTTATCAATTTATGGATAAAGAGTTATCAACAGTTTTCGATCGTGGAACCATGACATTACCGGTAATTGCTGCTTACCGCGAGCTATTATAACCAAAATCGAATCGGTTATCGTGCTCCCAAAAGGATACCCTATACATAAGGGCTAAGTTGTCATATCTCTCGCATAGGCGAAGGTGATTTCATGTAGTTCGAACTTCGAAAGGACTAATAGTTAAATATGAATAAGTAGAGTGACCAAAACCAAAATAAAGCAGATATTTTGTTTTTTGTATCATAAACTAAACATTCAATTAAATGATGATTCACGAATGCTAGAAGCTGCCTAAAGCTTTGCTGTGCTGTAACGATCAAGCAGTCTTGATCGAGCCAAACTCATTCATTCATCCCAGAGAGAGATCAATGCTCTTTTTTTAATCGCAGGGGCCAGTTAATTAGTGTACTAATTAATTGTTGCTTCAAAGGACTGGATTCCTTTCCAGCTTTCCCTTCGATATCGACAATATACGAGAAAACATCTTGTCAAAAAAGAGAAAGAAGACACAAGCAGAAGACATGAGAACTATTGCACTTTCATCGGACCCAGTTTCTTCTTTTGGGGTTTTGTTGGTGCTGTCGGAGAAACCATGGTAGCTAGCATGGCGAGCTGGCGACACTTGCTGATTAATTATATGGTTAAGGGGCCGCCAAATTATTTGCCCTAATCATGGACTAGTTGTTTGTCTTGCCTAGCTTTGTAGAAAAAGATGAGACGCGAGACAATATTAACGTGGTATCCCCGATTAGTTTGAGATTAATCGCTGATTTAATAAAGTTTTACAAACGTCGAGGAAAATTAGATTCAATATGATGTTTAATTTAGGAAAATCACATAGCTTTCGGTTTCTCAAAGCTATTGATTTGGATGGATTCACGAGAGCGCATAAGATGAAATTATACGATGGAGATATAAGTTGTCAAAAAGAATATGACGTTGTGTCATTGTTTGCATCACTTGCTACAACTTGAATCTTGCACAAAATTATAAAGCATATGTTCTAGCCAGTGATTATTTTCTCCTCTTTTAGTTTCTTGGATTATCTGACTTTATATTGGCAAAAAATCCAATCCATCACAGATATGCATGTGCACGGAAAGTTTACGAGTGATCTTTTGAAAAAAAAAAAATTATCTAAGATTATACAACCCCTCCACTTAATCACTCCCCCATAGAAAACCATTAAACAAGCATTGGCCTTTTTTGCAGGGATATGGAGGCCGGCCAGAACTCTACACCTGTCCCTAATTACGTGACGTTCCCTATACTATCATCAGTATTATAATGAACCATTTTATACCTGATATGGAATCCAACAAAGTTCAATGAATCAATTTCTTCATTATATTAAACTAATGGGAGATCACTCTTAATTGTATAGATCATTATAACACGGATCCATCTTCTTAAGAAGTAAGCAAAACTAAACACCTGGTCTTAATCCATTGGTGTTCAAGTAGCTTTCAAAGGTCTCCCCTAAAGAAAAAATTAACCCCTACTCCTAGCAATATTATATGACTTAATGCAAATCTTTCACTGGATTATGCTTAGAGAGGGTGGCTATAATAAATTCTTTCGTATGGCCTTATGCCTAGATGCAATAAGCTCTAGTACATTGGTGGCACATGGTTGTCTTACTTTTCGCTACGTAAAAGTCATATATGTATTGATTTTATAAGAGAAAATATAGGGTACATAGAAAATTCGAAAACACAAAACCTATTAAACCTTATGTTTTACTATCTCTGATACAAATCATATCGCCTCCTGATACGATATCAGGAGGTGACATGATTCGTATCAGAATGATAAGACATGCAGTTTTGTAGTTAGCGAGTCATGTACCGTAACCCTATTTGTTTTATAATTTAGCTATATTTTTATTTTTGAATAATAATCCTCAAAAGGGCATGTAACTCCATTCCTTAACAAAACATAATTAATAAACTAGTCTTATGGTATTATTGTCTCACCACCCCCATTTCTAGAAAGCTTGATACCAATCCTCAGAGCATCTTGGCCGTCGGATTCGTGCTAAAAGGAGGAAGAAAGATGAAGAAGAAAACATCCTTCAAAACCCTAAAGATGATGTCGGGGCATATCAGTCAATGTTGATTGGAATCTCGACCGTGATAGAAAGCTAAAGTAATAAGTACAGTGGTGAATCTGTAATCGATATATAGTTTAGGGAGTGAAGGTGTAATTTCCCCCAAGAAAACAAATAGATGAGGATTTTATGATGGTGACTCTAGATCATGTTTACAACAAGGTGGAGAGAGTAAGCTAACAGAGTGGTGCGCTGTCCAGTATAAATATGTACACAAAGCAACTGTCCTTTGAAGTCACAGAATGATTTGGTAAACCAAAACCTATACCTCTGGGCTTGCCAAACAAATAGTATTATCCAAAATAGAAACATAGTATGTCGTGAGGAGTGATGGAGGGACATTTTGGGTGTGGAATAAGCTGCAGCAGTAATGGTGCTGCTGCTGTGGTTGAACAAGAAGCAGCTTTTTGTTGGAGAAAGGGGCCATGGACTGCGGAAGAGGACAAGCTGCTGATCGAGTATGTCAAACTGCACGGCGAAGGACGATGGAACTCTGTCTCCAGGCTTACAGGTTTTTGTTATGTCGTAAACCAATTTGATCTCAATAAATCGAGTTATCGAGAAAAATGTTCGTTATGGGTCTTATACCACTCAGCTAATTATAATCTCCTAATTAGCAGGGCTGAAGAGGAATGGGAAGAGTTGCAGATTGAGGTGGGTGAATTACTTGAGGCCAGACCTCAAGAGAGGCCACATCACCCCACAGGAAGAGACCATTATTGTGGAGTTGCATGCTAGGTGGGGGAACAGGTAAACATTCAAATTTATCATTGATTAATTAATTAATTAATTAATCACCACATTAGAATTATAATCAGTAATTCATTGATCACTTGATGAGTTTGTACCTATCTGCCAACTTTTTGGATGATTATAATCTAGCAGGAGGAGGAATTAGTGGATGATTAGTTTAATTCAATTTTATCCTGATTTGGGCAGGTGGTCCACTATTGCGAGGAGCCTGCCAGGGAGAACGGACAACGAGATCAAGAACTACTGGCGAACCCACTTCAAGAAAAAGACCAAAGTGCCCCTCCTCGACGCCTCCCAGAAGGCCAGGAACCGCCTCCTCAAGAGGCAGCAGTTCCACCAACAGCAGAAGGAGCAGCTGAACCAGCTGGACATGAAAAAGAGGATTTCCTTGCTCGACGACGACACCAACAACGATGACAATTACCACGTGGCTCAGTTCAGCGGCAGGCAAGAAGCCGCCGCCGCGGCCAATAGTAGTAGTAGCAGCAGCAGCAGCAACGGTTCTGTTTACACTGACAGCGGCGAGGAGCATAGGATTTTCTTTGGGAACGATATGTTACAGGCGGCAGAGGAAGGGAGTCTGTGGGACGACGAGGGGCTGTGGAGCCTGGAAGAGTACTTCCATGCGGCGGCGGGAAGAGTCCCGGCGAACTTAGTTGCACCTAATTTTTGTTGACTTATTATTAATAATCTGCAGTAGTACTGCACCAACAACTGTTTAATTTGTACTTGCTACTTGGGTTTCCATGATCTAGCTCAATAGCTCATGGATCCAATTCAGTTTGGAGTTTCGACCGGTTTGTAACTCGAACCAGTAACTGTACATGACCTTCAGCCGTTGAGCATGTCACGTTCTGTTTCGTGTCTAGTAGATATAAGAGGGTTGTTCATATCGTGGCAAAACAAGCCCAATCATTACTGGTCGGTTATAAGTCGATCAACACTTTTTTACTTTTGTTTTGTGATCTGACCTGCAAAGGTCTTGTATATTTCGTATCTACCCGTTTCCATGGAAAAAAAAAACAAAAAAAACTTCACATGAGGAACCCTTTAGCTAGATCATAATGGTTCCATGATAAAATCTTCTAAACCTGCATGTGTAGCGCTCCTCAAAATAGTGAATCTATTCTCCTGTCCATCTAGAAAAGTTTGTAAAGCAATATTAACTTCTTTACTTTATAGTACAAGTCCGTGCTGGCTGTCTTTTGTTGATCATCATCAAAGTACTAGCTTCCTTTTCTCTTGTCGTGATCATCAATTCATCATCATTCCACTTCCTAATTTCATATGTTGTTCTGCAATGTTACCTCTACAAGATTCAACTTGACAGCTTGGAGGAGCTGCAATTAATTAGGACATGAAGTGGTTTCTGCCTGAGGGACAAAAAACGCTACACTGTGAACAGCAAGCATTCAGTTTAGGAAGGGAAAAAGGTACCCAAACAAATGAAACAAGCAAAGCATGAACAGTCATGTTGATGGTGCAATTGACACTAAGGGGGAAAAAGCTGCTGAAAGAAATGTAAGCAAATATGGTTGTGATTTCAATGACAGGATCCGGTCTTTGCTTTAAGCCATCTTGAGATTGTTTACCTGATACGTGATGCTCTCCCATATTGATGAACTAACAAGCTGGAGAGCCAACAGAAATGCAAATACCACAAACATGGTTTTGGGAGCTGTCTTTTGCAAGAAAATGCCACCAAGGAAGTTGCCAAGGATCCCACCTATAGCCAAAAGCCATAGATGCATAGGACTGGAGGCCTCCTATTCTGTGTTTTTGGCCATACTCAGCAACGAGAGCATCTTTAGCAACTTCAGTAATTGAAGCCCCAATATTACTCAAAAGGATGCATGCCATGAGCACGGGAAGAGCTTTACATGCTACAGGAATCAATGCCAACACACCCCCAAGGTAATACCTGCAAACAAACTGCACAAAAAAGCATTTTGGGAACTTTCATCAGTCAAACCTCATAAAACCAGTCCCAAAGTAATAAGGATTATAAGAGAGAGCGGCAGGAAAAACTACAAAAATCAACCTTCAATTTGAATGTAAGGTTGATAACATTCAAAAGGACACCAAATTATTATCAAATCAGCCCGTCTAGCTCAGTTGGTAGAGCGCAAGGCTCTTAACCTTGTGGTCGTGGGTTCGAGCCCCACGGTGGGCGAAACTTGCTATTTTGATTTTGTGTTTTTTCACTTTGGTCTGGAAAATGGAAACAAGCATCTATTAACAGATGCAGATTTACAGTTGGCAGAAAACCAACATTCCTCTTTCCTTGCTGTGGATCGACAAACATCAGATATAATACAGGAACTCTTTTTTCATCTTGGCCTGGAAAATGGAAACAAGCATCTATTGACAATTACAGATTTAAAGAACGCACAAAACAAAACATTCCTCTTTCCTTGCTGTGGATCGACAAACATCAGACATAATACAGGAACTCCACAAGGAAGTGATATCTATCCCTTTAAAACCAGGAGCAGATAATCAAGTCAAGGCAGCAGATTGAACTTTGACTCCAAAATTGATTGAACTTCAGTTAGGGATGCCACTTTGAAGTCTGGTTCGAGATTCACCTCTGCAATGTCAGCAGCGCTGTACATGCCTTCTTCATCGAGCAAACATGTGAATGCCCCAGCACGTTTCCCACAAACCACCTGCAAATCAAGATAGGCACAGAAGAAACAAGGAAAAATCAAGACAAGTAAATAGCAGAGGGAAAACTACATTCTGCCAAGTATGAAAGAACCAAAGCATAATGTTTGTATCTTGTTAACTCAATAAATGAACTCCGAAATAGATACACGAATGAGCATGGAAGGAGTGATGAACAATAAAGAGAAGAGGAGGAGAGGACACAGATGGTATCACCCACATCATCTTGAAGGCTGTCGCCAATCATGATGACCTCGTCAGGCTGGACACCCCATTCCGAACATATATGCAGTAGAGGAGCCGGGTCCGGTTTACAAGGGCGGAACTCCCGGCTCAATGCTGGAGAAAAGCTCCTCTGCATCAACAACCCACCACAGACAAGATTGAGACCACCCTCTGTTTGAAATAAAAGCTGGTAATGGAATTTTCCAATTACAAAGAGTGAAATCTTGATAAGTAAGTGAAAAGAAAAAGCAATGTCCCTGAGCATTTGCACTACTTTGTTACAGCCAAGAAAGAAGCAGCTCCAATGGGAAAAAACATTAACTGCAGTTAAGTTAGGGTCAAACAGAAATCGTTTCTTAACACAAGGACCAGTCAGGACACCAATCAATCACACCTTACAACTCACAAACTTGAGGAAAGCAGCAAAGCTTTTTAATGAAGGTAAGTTTATGGAAGTTTTCTAGCTGGAGAGCAGCGAACTCCAGCCTTACAATACAGACTCACCATGCCGGCAATCAGTTTAGAAGAAACCAATAACAAACTAGATTCATTCAAAGCCCATTTCAACAAGCAACTCACTTACCCCAAATCGGGAATGGAAAATATCAACAGCTTCCTTGAAGTTTCGAGTGATTAACCCCATCCTGAAGAATTACAACTAAGGCTTCCATGAAGCTAACTTCTTACGCATCTCAGCTAAGCATTATCAGCAAAAGGCTACGCGTAACTCGAGAACCCAAACCTGATTTTCTTCGAATCCAGAAACCCACATAGCTCTGCCGCACCTGATCAAACAAAAACACACGCCCAAAAAAACTAACCTCCAAATTCCACTTTAACCAGCAAGAATTGAAGAAAAAATGTGACACCTCACCGCAACTAAAATTCATCAAAACTAACCAGGCATAATTTGAAGGCGGTCGGAACCCTGGCGCTCGTAATCAACAATGATCTCGTAAGCCTTCCGCTGCCGGTCGGGGCTCCAGCTCTGGATGTGGTGGAGAATGTCGATGCCGGTGGGATTCTCGGCCTTGATTCTCCGGTACTCGTCCTCGCCGAGCACGGCATTGTGCATCGCCGGGAAATCGATGGTGGGGACCGTTAGGGTTCCGTCCATGTCAAAGACTACTCCTCTGATGCGAGCTCTGGTGGCAGTGGCCATGGCGAAGTGTGAAATTGACGATGGGCAGTGCTTGGGATGCAGAGAGAGGATTGATTTGAAGAGAAGAGAGCGCATAATTTTGGAGGAAATTCCTGCCGGCTCCGATATTTATAGAGATAACGCTGGGTTTTTGTGTGGCTAAATTGGCGGTTGATTAACTAACTACTTTAACCGCCGGCGGGAATAATATTGACAAAATTACCACACAGGCCCGGAGCACCGGGCGGACTCTGGAGCGTAATAGGCCCAAACTCATTATGTGGGCTCAGTAAACAAGGCCTACATTCTGTCCATCGGGCCAATGATTCGTTAGTCCTCACCCAAAACGTTTAAAAAAACAGAGCGAAAAAGAAAAACGTTTCGGAATTCTTTCTAAAGCTGCCTTGAACCATAAACCCTTCCCGAAGCGCACTTCTTTCTCGGTCTTCACTCTTCACCAAAAACCACTGGTAATGGCGGCCGCCTCACCGCCGTCGACATCCAAACCATCAAACAAGAGGGGAAAGAGAAGGCGAGCTCAACATGACCCGGTGCTCGAAGGATTCGATTCACTCCCCTGGAAATCGTCGCTTCCCGAAGCCGAAGAAGGTGACCCGTTCTCTGTGTTCGCCGGCGTTAATGACTTCGAAGGAGGTTCGTCATCCTTTTCTCCCTCTCGCTCTCCTCTCTCTATTGTTCTGGGAAATTTTTCGACTGCAACGAGAGCCATGACTAATGGCTTTATGCGGTGTCCGCACAGTCTCAGGACTTCTTACTAACGTTATTGTAGTTGGGAGGGCGCTAGTTGTTAGGTCTTCCATTGGAATGGTCATGTATTTGGAGAAAAAATATGTGCTTCGTTTTTGTGTTATTGTGTTTTTTTTTTTTAAGTTTAGGTTGGTGTAGTGTTTGATAACATTGGCGAATTTCAGGTTTTCTTTCGCTGGAAGAGGTCGACGAGCTTGACTATGGATTGTCGATCCCTCAACCTGAAAAGAAATCAAAACCCAAGAAGCAGAAGCGTGATGCTGCTGCTGATGGTGCTGGTCGGAGTGTAGAGGATAAGCCTGCCATGGAGAAGAAGAAGAAGAAGAAGGGACAGAAGAGGAAGAAAGGGAAGCAGAAGAATGAAAAGATTACGGATGCAAATGAACCAGAGATAAATGAGGCGGCAACTGGTTGGTGCTTCTTTCTTCTCTTCTTGCTTGTTGTGGATTGCGGTGGCATTGCGAATTGATTCCTACTGCAGTTTGATTCTCTGATCCTTTTGGTTGCTGTCCATGTTTATCCATCTCACCTCGTGATGAAATGACATATTTATCATTCACTTGCTTTTAATTGCCTATTGAACTCTATTGCTCATCTGATACACTCATACACCATTAGTTTGTTGGTTCTTAAATTAAAATTTTTGATAGCGAACATCTGATGCTCTGAATATGCTGACCAACCAACAACTCCTAGTTCTCTAATGTTAGTCTTATCCTTGTAGTTAACGATGGTGATGACGGGGCTGTTGTTAGCAATGGTAATGCTGTAGATAGCAATAGCAATGGCGACTCCAAAGAAGACTCAGTTGATGAGACAGAGTTTTATGCATGGAATGAATTGAGGCTTCATCCAACGCTTATGAAATCAATCCATAGGCTTGGTTTTAAGCAACCAACACGGATCCAGAAAGCTTGTATTCCTGCAGCGGCTCATCAGGGAAAGGTTAGTTTGGTGTAACTTCTTAAAAGTATTGGCATTATATTGGTGGCGGGATAGTCATGGTTGTTCTTTTCTATGATAGGATGTTATTGGTGCTGCAGAGACCGGATCTGGGAAAACTCTTGCTTTTGGTTTGCCGATTTTGCAACGTCTACTAGAAGAACGGGATAAGGCTGAGAAACTGTTTGATGACAAGGGTGATGATGATGCCAACAAGTATGCCCCAACAGGTGTTCTGCGTGCTCTTATCATCACCCCGACTAGGGAACTCGCTGTTCAGGTACATGGACCATCTCACCATTGGTTACTTTCAAACATAGTCTTGCTCACCCCAACTAGGATATGCTTTCATTTTTGTTTTGCTGGGAAAGATGAAATGTTTGATTTTATTAAAACTATATTTGATTATGGATTGATAGTTTCATTTGACTTTTCTAGTTCAGACTCATTTAGTTGAAAGGAAAGCATGCCTCTTCCGCATCCACCACTACTTCCCCCCTCCATCTTTCATGTCTATGCAGGAAATGATTAACAGTTTACATGTGGATTGTTGCAGTTGAAATGCTGTATTCTGCTTGTTTATTTTTGATTAATGTGGTCCCATGGTTCAAAGACGTTTTCCCCCATATTAAATACATTGACAGATGACAGGTTGCTTAAGTTGGCAACTGTTTTACTTAATTAATTCTTACCTGCATATTCGGATTCTTTTGTCTAGGTTTCTGATCATCTTAAGGAAGCAGCTAAAGGGATCAATGTTAGAGTGGTTGCAATTGTTGGTGGAATGTCAACGGAGAAACAGGAGAGACTGCTAAGAGCAAGGCCTGAGATCATTGTTGGAACTCCTGGGCGATTATGGGAACTTATGTCAGGGGGAGAGGAGCATCTTGTTGAAGTCCGTGCTGATTGCTTTCCATATTAACAATACTATAGGCAAATGAAATTTATCTCATTTTAATTTTTTTTGTCTGTTGACATACTTTTGTGCATAACTTCTTCTTGCAGTTGCATTCCTTGTCATTCTTTGTGCTGGATGAAGCAGATAGAATGATTGAAAATGGACACTTTCGCGAGGTGCAGTCAATTATTGATATGCTTCCCATGTCCAGCACTTCTTCTGTTGATCAATCTCAAGATAGCAAAACTTGTGTAACAGAGGCTAGCTTCCAGAGAAAGAAAAGACAAACCTTTGTTTTCTCTGCCACTCTAGCATTGTCTGCAGATTTTCGCAAGAAACTAAAGCGAGGATCAGTAAAATCAAAACAAGCAGTGTCTGCTGACCTTAATTCTATTGAAACCCTTTCTGAGCGTGCTGGAATGAGGGATAATGTTGCCATTGTCGATTTGACAAATGCATCTGTCTTGGCTAGCAAGCTTGCAGAATCCTTTGTTGAGTACGCAATCCATAACCTAGCTATTATTGTTACCAAGTCTTATCTATTTGGAATTTTGGTTGTTTACGTATGTTCTTGTTAGTCTGATGCTTCCATGCTGCATTGTGGCTGTGCAGGTGCGCGGAAGAAGATAAAGATGCTTACTTGTATTATTTATTGAGTGTTCATGGGCAAGGTCGTACTATTGTATTTTGTACTTCAATTGCGGCGTTGCGCCACATTTCTTCCATCTTGCGCATCCTTGGAATCAATGTTTGGACACTTCATGCTCAGATGCAACAACGAGCTCGTTTGAAGGTTTCCCTTTTCTCTTCTTTTCCTATAAGTTGCTTTTTTGCTTTTGAATAAGCTGTTGTTGGTACTGCAAATCTTCATATTCTTTCTTTATAAACTAATAAAAAAAGACTATTGAAATATGAACTTCAACTTCAGAATTAAGTTGGCTTTCGTGAGAAAAATTAGAGATGATCTGGACAACCTATTAGACTGATTTACTGCATTGATGCTTACTGTTAAACAACATGGCAATACCTAAAAAATGTTGGCTGTGGATTGGTAGTCTGTTTTTCGTCACCTCTGTTGTCTGTATAGTGTACATGTCAGTTATTTTTAATCATAAAAAATGTCACCATTTCCTCCTCTATCAATGCAGGCAATGGATCGTTTTCGTTCCACTGAACATGGCATACTTATTGCCACTGATGTTGCAGCAAGAGGGCTTGATATTCCTGGTGTTCGAACTGTTATTCATTATCAGCTTCCTCATTCAGCTGAAGTAAATATCAGAGTTTCCTTTCACCATATGCTGCGAATTTTTTCTTTTTCTTTTTCTTTTTCTTTTTGTTGAATTTACCAGTGCACTTGTGGCGTTAGGTTTACGTTCACAGAAGTGGAAGGACGGCTAGGGCTTTTGCTGATGGCTGCAGCATTGCTCTAATCTCATCAAAGGATACCTCAAAATTTGCATCACTCTGCAAGTCATTTTCAAAGGTAGTAAAGTTTCTGAGAGGAAATCTTTTCGTCTTCCTCATGTGTTGCCCAGTTAAGCATCTGAGAGCTGCAATAACTTTGAAAACAAATTAGGAAAGCAGATAACCAAACTTGTTTTTGTTGACCGAAAATCAGTCTGGAACTTTTGAAAAGTCTCATATAACGCAAAATGGTGCAAGCAAGTGATTCTGTTGTTACAAATTTTACAACAGTTCCAAATATTTGTTTCATTTAAGAGTTAGGTCGTAGCAACCCTTTCTTAAGTATTTGGTGGTTAACTGCAGTAGAGTAACATTTCCCTGTATTGAACTACCTTAAACAGGAAAGCTTTCAGAGATTTCCTTTAGATGATTCTTACATGCCTGAGGTGATGAAACGACTGTCTCTAGCACGCCAAATAGACAAGATATCACGGAAGGAATCTCAGGTATTAATGTTTTGCTTTGGTTTGTGTCATCTGTTTTATCTCTTAAAAGTGTTTACATAAATGTTTCATTCTTGGGTGTTATAAACATGTTTAGTTCAAGCTAGTGTACTGCCTTCTAAGCCTGATGTATTTGAGTAGGAGAAGGCAACAAAATCCTGGTTTGAGAGGAACGCAGAATCAGTTGAGCTAGTTATCGACGAGGATGACAGCGAGGAGGAAAGAGTGAACCATCGTAGAGAAAAGAAAGCTAGCTCGGCACAACTGAAAACCCTGCAGCAGGTATTAATTCTTCTTTTCTTTTTCTTCTTCTTCTTGTGAAAGTGTACTTTTTCTTTACTTGTATCTTGGTCTGTCTTCTTTATCTGCAATTCGGTTGTCTCAGCCTTTTGTGATAATTGTTTCGTTTTTTTCACAGGAGCTCAATACCATCCTTTCACGCCCATTGCAACCCAAATCATTCTCGCATCGGTTTTTAGCTGGGGTAATTATTCAACTGTGTCCCATGATTAGAGGCCTTGACTTTTCCAATAATTGCACTACTGCATTTCACTCACGAGATCATTGAATTCGAGTTTGGTAGTACTAACTAGACAAGTCACTTGAAAATGTCTAATATCCTTTCAGGCTGGTATTTCGCCCCTCCTCCAGCAGCAAATTGAAGAGCTAACTAGACAAAAGACGAGGAACGTTATGGGCGCGGGAGACAACAAAAAGAGGAAAATGGTTGTCATCGGTCAGGATTGCGTCGAGCCACTCCAGGCACTCCGCAGTGGTGGTCACGAGGTTGTATGGCCTTACTATTTAGCAAATCCCTCGTCTCCGTTCTTCCTTTCTCTCGTCTCGCAGCTCAAAACTAGTCGAATTAACGGATGATGTTTGTTTCAACTTGTTCTCAAATTTCCTAGTTTTGCCCCTATCTCGTGCAGGTGCGGATGGACACGAAGGAGGTGGCGGAGAAGCGGAAAAACATGGAGAATCTGAGGAGAAAGAGAAAGGAAGAAAAGAAGCGTATGCACTGTAACTCTACCTTTGCTTTTTCCATTCTCTACGATTCATCCATAGCCCGACTTATATCCACAGCGATGTGTTGCGTGGATTGATGTTTTCAGGTAAGCGAGATCAGCGGAGAAACCAGAAGAAGCAGTCAAGAGGGGCGCATTGATGACCAGATGAATGAAACTGTGAGTGTTATAAATTCCTCGAAGCAGGTTAGGGAGAAGTGAAGTGTCCTTGTTGACATTTCCTGGTCAAATGCTTCAGGGTAACGGTTTAGGTATCTTGTGCCATAAGTTACGTAGCTCTTACATCATGTTCTTGGCAGTGGCATTTTACGGGAATACCCTGCAATCTAATGCAAATGACTATTTTGGTTACTTGCCGCAGGGCATCCTGAATTTGTTTGGTCAGTTTCATGAAATTTGTCGTAGAAAAATGAATGTATGGGTTGACTTTTCTGCCAGTCAGCTCTTTCACCTAACTGTTTGATGCGGGAGATGGATGGGCTGGCCAGAGTTTTGTGGACAGTGGAAAATTGTAATGGGAATGGGGGGAAAAGGCAGAGGATAATTGCGACGACTTTGACCAAGTGAAGTCGTTTGTTTCTTTCTAAATTGAACCACAAAGAGTAAACAATAAAAATTCTTGGTTGACTTGACTTGTCATTCAATCAATCTACTTGCAAATTGTATTGTGCAATACTGCAATTATCTTCGATATCAATAATTTGTAGAAGATGTTCAAAATTGAGAAAGAATGATAGTAGAGATATTGAGAGATCATTTGTTCGAAATTGTGGGGAACTCTTTGTGATTTTGCGGGTTTAATTTTTGGTTAAGCAGATACGCCTAAAAGTTTTGATGGTTCAAGGCTAAAATGTTAGGTTTTGGTCAATCACAGTCCATCTATATCCACCCGATTTTTAGCTTGACATTTTTTTCATAAAGAATTACACCAATTCATAGGAACCACGCACAATATAATTGGTGAGTAAATTACAGGGGGATTTGAGTGGATATGTGGTTTTGGGAAGGATGTAGGGTTTTGGATCGTGTGCGCGGTAAGTTGTACTTGACAAATGAGTGATGTAGTATTTTGTGTTTCATCGTCTAACTACTTCGTATCGGTCAAATCTTATATATACTGGGTTAAACTTTGGTAAGCGATTTTTCCGGTAGAATCTCCGTACTGATTTTAGAGTGTGCAGGTGAGGTGAATCTGAGCATTTATTTTTGCGGTTACTGTGATAAGAGTTGAGCTGACGCAGAGTAAAGTGTAAAACCAACGAGAGACATGTGCGTGCGGAAAGATTACATCTTTTTTTGTGTATTCAATTCATTCATCCTCCTCTGCCTCTGCCCTAAAAGATACCTTTTTCTGTTGTCTGTTATCGTTGATTACTTTTCTGCAGTTGTGCTTTAGCAGCAGCTCGTGGACTGGACTGGAAAGAAGAAGGAAAAGAAGCTGCCATCTTGCGATCCAAAGCTATAAAGCAAAATCATATCATAATGTCGTCTTCGTTGGTGCTTCTTCCTACTTTTCTATGTGGAAAAATATGTTCAGACAGACAGGACAAAATAACAACTCAAAACCGTCTGTGTTAGCAGAGTATCTCAATCTCAGTCTGGTGGCGTGCGTATCTCTCTGTGTCATTATAAAAAAACATATGCCGCAGTTCCCACTACTTGACCAGTTATTTGATGTATTATTATAGAATTAACAGGGTTCTTAAATCTTAATTTAATTATATCGTCTCAGCGTCAAAATGGGAAATACGAACTTGAAGCAACTTGCGGGTTCATCCCTCCAGGTAGGCACACGGAATGGAATTCAACGGTCACAGTCCATGTTGTCTGCACTATTTAACCTGCAGAATGGTGAAGACGACGAGGACTGGCGTTTTAAAAGATTGAAATGTGTTCTTACTCTATTGCTAGGTGAATCTAAGGTAAAAAAAAAAGTCAAATTTATTGTTGCTTTTGGGAACTGGATAAACAATCTAAAAAATTATTTTTCAAACTCCCTGCGTATTTCTTTTTTGTTTGTTCTGCTTGATAATTCATGACAAAAAAATTGTTAAGAAAAAGCGCTTATAAGAAGATAATACAAGCGTAATGATGAGTGGCGGTTGTGTAGCTGATAATTCTACCCATAACTAACAAGTGAGGGATGATCGTTTTAAGTTTTAACTATTATTCGACTTAATTTTGAGAAAAATACTCGATTTTGAAATGGCGTAGCACAAAATGGGAGAATGTTGCAGTCACTACGTCCTTTAAAATGATGCCATGTACTGAATTCATCCAAGAAGGCACAATGGCGTATATGGTGATCTGCATCAGTTTTGTATAATAGTGAAACTCGTAGTGTTATAAACGCGCTGCTACGGATCGGGAAATCGCCGGAATCAATAAAGCAAGAATACGAAAACGAGAATCGATAAAATACAGACACACGATTTACGTGGTTCACTAACACGATGTGTGTTAGCTAGTCCACGGGCGAGAGAGAGCCAATTTTACTATATCGAGGAGATAACAGAGGAGTATGAGAAGTATTTATAGTACTTCTTCATGTGGGTCTAAACCTAATCCAATTTGGCAAAGGAAACAGCGAGACCCCCGACTACCAGTCGTAGCGGCTGATAGTCTATTCAAGTCACATCAACACGTAGTTTCCAGGAGGTTACCAGAAATCGTTTCCACAAGAGCTAAACCATACACTAATAACCCTCTTCCCAAAGAAGAAGGTACCAGAAACGTCTGATGATTTTCGTCCAAGTAGCCTATGCAAGGTTTACTACAAAATCGTTTCAAAGGTGATAGGTGAATGCCAGAGCGCGTTTGTGCCGGAGAGATATTAATTACTGACAACATTCTGGTGGCTTTTGAGTGTTTCCACTCAATGAAAGAGAGACGACAGGGGAGGAAGGGTTTTATGGCAGCAAAACTGGATATATCTAAAGCGTATGATCGGGTGGAGTGGTGTTTCCTAGAAGCTATGATGCGGAAGCTGGGATTTTCCGAGAGATGGGTAAAGAGGATCATGCATTGTGTGACTACAGTTAGTTTTTCGGTGTTGGTGAATGGCATCAAACTCAAACTTTCACACCAACTAGAGGACTCAGACAAGGGGATCCTTTGTCCACTTATCTGTTCTTACTAGTGGTGGAGGGTTTATCAAATCTTATTCAAAAAAGAGTCACAGAAGGGAAATTGGAAGGAATCAGAGTTAAGGGAGGGGCACCTATTATCTCTCATCTGCTATATGCAGATGACAGTATCATCTTTTCTAGAGATACTCCACAAGGATGTGAAACGTTGAAGGAACTTCTGAGCCTTGATGTGGCAAATTCAGGCCAGAAAGTAAACCTGACAAAATTAGAGTTATCCTTTACACCAAACGTTCTAGAGGAGAAGCGACAAGAACTGGGTGACATTCTCGGAATGAAGGTGGTAGAGCCTCATGCAAAGTACATGCTACTGCTCACAAGAGTGGGACGAGAAAAGAAAGTTGTGTTCAGCTACTTGGTGGACAGAGTGAAGAGGAAGGTTAATATGGAAGAGTAGACTACTATCTATGGGGTTGAAGAAGTGCTCTTGAAATCTTTTGCACAAACACAGACCACTTATGCCATGTCTGTCTTCCTAGTGCTAATTGGAGCAGTCAAAGAAATTCATAGCATAATGTCACACTTCTGGTGGAGACAACAAAGAGAGGAGAAGAGAACACATTGGCTCAACTGGAAAGGAATTTGTAAACCAAAGGAGGAAGGAGGGATGGGATATCGTGATTTACATGGGTTCAATCTGGCTATACTGGGGAAGCATATAGGAAACCTAATTTAAAATCCAAACTCAATGGCGGCCAGGGTATTGAAAGCAAGGTATTATCCTAGTAGGGATGTTCTGGAAGCATATGGGGGGTATAATCCAAGTTACACTTGAAGAAGCCTCATGGTGGCAAAGAATATGGCGAAGGAATTTTTGAGATGGAAAATTGGAGATGGAAGGATTATGGTTGAATATGTGGTTACAAGATGATACACAGGAAAAAATTACATCTATGGTTAGGCCTATTAATGGGAGCACCTCAATTTCGGAACTGATTGATCATGATACACGATATTGGCGCACTGATGTTCTACAACACTATTTCAGTCCCATGGACAGACAACAAATCATCAAAACTCCAATTCCTAGACAACTAGCTCAGGATGAAAAAGTGTGGAGGCTGGAGAGGAATGGAAGCTACATAGTGAGATCAGCCTATGAGGAATGGAGGATAAAACAAAACGAGCAAGACGAAGAGGTCTATATCCCGGGGAACTGGACGAGATACTGGAAAATTCATATCCCTCCAAAGGTGAAGGTTTTCGGATGGAGATGGGTGAACAATTTTCTCCCAACAGGAAAGAACATACTGGATCGAACTCAACAAGGCTGTGATGAATGTCCGTTTTGTGAACTAATTGAAACGCAAGAGCATATATTTAGGGATTGTGCTTGGGTGAGAAGGGCCTGACAACCTAGCAGTCTAAGTTCGTTGCTCTCAAAGGGTAAAGAGCTTACTTGTGAATCGTGGATGTGTCAACTTCAGGAATCTGAACCCGATGAGAAGATTGGCGAGTTTCTCGTGGCCTTGTGGTTTATCTGGGAAGAGCGAAACAGTCAATGGTGGAATAAAAAGAAGAAAGAGGAATTTGAAATTATGGGAGCAACGCCCAGATGGTTGGAAGAATACCTAAAGCATAATGAGAAGGCAGAGACGAAAACCCAGAGAAACCCACTATGATGGGAACCTCCGATAACGACGCCATACAAGATCAATGTTAATGTAGTGTGTTGAAGGATCACGGAACTGGTTGGGAAGTGGTGATTCGTGAATCGTGACATGCAGGGTGGCTTATGTGGTGCGGTAGTTAAAAGGATGAGAACTCAATGGGGACCGGCAATGGCAAAGCCTCTTGCGATTGAATTCGATTTGGAGCTTATGGAGAGATGGGGGATAAGGTACTGTGTGTTGTAATCAGACTGTTTGTCCACTGATAGGCCATTGATTACACATGTTTTTACCCCTATTCTTGAGCCATTTGAGATGTCGATTTCCGTGTTTTAGGCCGATTTCACGCTAGGTTGTTCTTGTTTGTGATATTTCAGGTCATAGCACGTGAATGAAGGCTTGGGAACGAGTTCGGGGTCGATCGAACGAAGATCGGACGTTTGGCGAGGAGCTGATGGAGCCACACGGGCAGGCCTAAAGCCTACACGGTCGTGTGACCTGGCCGTGTGGCACCAAATTGCACGGGCAAAGTCACACGGGCCGTGTAGAGGACCCATTGTGCCCGTGTGAAGGCTCGGCAAATCCCACACGGGCAGTCTGGACACTCACACGGCTGTGTGGGTCGTGGCCGTGTAGAAAGTCTGAACCACTTATCAAAACGCCGCGGTTTGCACAACTCACACGGGCAGCTGGGGATGTCACACGACCGTGTGGCCTGGCCGTGTGAGTCGGGATTTTCTGGTTTTTAAGACAGTTTCTAGCTACAAGTGAGGGGTTCCGAGATTTAGAGAAAGAAAGCGATTCCTAGAGAGAGAAAGCGACGAACCAGAGTTCCCAAGTGCCCTAGCTTGATCTTCATCACCATTGGAGCCTGGCTCACACTTGGAGAAGTGCCGATTGACGAGCAGGAGCAGATTCTCATCCTTCACAACATGATTTCTGCATCTGAGCTTGCTTTTGCTTCTCTCTCCATGGAGTAACTTCCTCATTCATCTGGGTATGGAGAACCCTAGATTTGTGTGTTAGGTCTGATTGTATGAACCCAAGTACAGATTATTTGATATGATTATGTTCAATTGAGGTTTGAATTGTTGAATGGCATGAATCCTGATCAAATTCATGTTGTTTCTGCTTT